CAGCCTGCTTTAACCCTCTCCAGGCTGAATTAGTTTGTTTTCTTAGTAGTCCATGGTATATTCAATACTCTTCTCCTGCACCACAGCTCCAAGGCATCAATTCTCCTTCTATCCTCCCTAGTCATTGCCCAACTATCCGAAGCATAACAACTGATTGCAAAGACCATGGCCTGTATCAGGCACACCTTAGTCTCCAGCATGATACCATTGCTCTTCAGCACTGTTGTGCATAGGGTTTTCAGAGGCCTGTTATGGCCATCCTTCTTCCTTGTCTGTCTTAATCTGAATGCTCAAAAGATAATTAAATTAAATTAAATTAAAGAAGATTAAATGAATGAACATGTAGCTAACCTTACCTCCTCACAGAACCTTAGAAAGGTTCTTAGAAAAAATTCTTTAAAACTCCATGGTTATTCTCCTAATTGTGTTGAAATATTTTTCTCCCTTATACTATATTTCATATATACTGTATTTCAGCAGCAAAAATTGTTGCTCCTGACCATTGCTTTGTGGGCTAAGTATTGTGGCTTTTCTTCCCGGCCCCGCTCCCCCCCTTCTCTTTTGTTTGTTGGTTTTGAAATTGTCTTAAAGTCTGTTTTGATTGCAGGAAACAGAAGTTGCTGTCAAACAACCTAAAGAACCCATATGAAGAGACAAACAAAGATGGGAACTGCAGCAAGCCTGCTAACAGTGAAGCTGGGATGCCTTCTTCCCTGCCTTGGGTAATGCAACCAAAAATGAAACAAGGAATTGGATTACCATTAATTGCAGTTTCTTTTTCTTTAATCTCCACCAAGTTCAGAGAGCACAATCTGTTATAACTTTTGGCTGATGTTAATATTACCTGATACCACACCTTAGTAGCCGGCTTTTGGTCAGAGAGGTGAGGTAGAGGTTAAAGGGTGGAGAAGAAACTTATCCTGAACCAAGGTATTAAGAAGGGATGAAATAGCACCATCATTTAACACAAGAAATCTATGAAACTTTTCCCCTAGGATGGAGCTTCTTCCTAGAATTTAGATTTCAATGCATTAAGTGAAGAATATTTCCCAATTTTTAGGTGGTTCTTTAGCAATGAATCTTTAAAAACAAAAACCAACCTAGAGTATGTTCTTACTTTTCCTAATACTTCTTTCCCATACATAATTTTCTCTCAACATGAACAGCAAAATTGTTATCACATTTAGCATATTAAAGTTCAGGACACTAATAATATTAGCACTTAGAAGATTGAACTTAAAAGTTAATGCTTTGTTGTTGGTATGTGCCTTTGAGTTGACTCTGACTCACAGTGACCCAATATACAATAGCTCTAAACCCTGCTCTATCTTAAGCCAATTTCATTGTCTCTGCCACACCTACCCCCATTACCCCAGGCACTGAATCAATCCATCTCATCCAGGGGCTGCATTATCTATCTGGTAACCTCAAGTGTTTTCTAAAAAGATGCTTCCTTCCGTCACTCATGTAAGTAACAGATATTGAAACACTAGAGGGCAGACTTGAGACAGTCTTCTGAAAGCTGGACAGTAAAAGAGATAAATAAATGGAGAATGGATGCATTTGAATTATGGTGTGGGCGAAGAATATCACATGGGCTGTCAGAAGAACAAGCAAATTCATCTAACAGAAAGTACAAAATGCTTTTCAGCAAAAAATAAAGAGGGTCAGTGAAAATGAAAGAAATTGTCCATTAGATGGTGTGGCATACTGGCTCAAATACAAAACTTGGGAGGGTGCTGTAGGATTGGGCAACATTTAATACTGTGTTACAGAAGATCATCATCAGCTGAAGCCAATTTTATGGCAGCTAATCCCAGCAACTAAAAAGATACCATGCTTGGAAAGGTGAAGGATTAGTGTAGGAGAGGAAGGATCTCAACAAGATAGATTAACCCAGTGACTACATAGCAATAGACTACACTGTATGATATCATTGTATCATAAGTATGTCAAAGATGATAGGGATAACTCAGGATAGAGCAGGCTTCAGATTCATTCTTCACAGGGTCATTATGAGTCATATTTGACTCAACAGCACACAACACTAGCAGCAAGCTCTCTTGAAACTATAAAAGGAGTTACCATTTCGAGAAGTCTTTCAGAAATAATTTGGCTAGGTTAGTGTTTGTGTTGGTATTATTTGTGGTATATGTTGCCTCTCAATTTCTGACTGCAAAAGTTGGTAGAAATCTTCTATGTCTTCCTCTTTGGCTCTAGTTGTTGGTGCATATATTTGAATGATAGTGGTATTCACTGGACTTCCTTGTATGCGTACAGATATTATCCTGTCGCTCACCACATTGTATTTCAGGATAGATCTAGAAATGACTTTTTTAAATTATGAAACCAACCCCATTTTTTCCTCACCTTTTCATCCCCAGCATAGTAAATCATATGATCATCTGATTCAAAATGTCCCATGCCAAGCCATCTTGTTTCGCCAATATCTAGTATGTCAATATTTATATGTTCCATTTCTTTCTTAGCAATATCCAATTTTCCTACATTCATGCTTCTCACATTCCACGTTCAAATCACTACTGTCTCCTTACAGCTGTTTCTTTTTCTCCATGTTTCCATTTCTAAGATATCAGTTTCAATTGCAATGTCTGTTAGTCCAAATGATAATCTAAGTATATTCTATTGTACATAGTGTTTTCAAAGGCCTGTAATTTCAGAAGTGGATGGCCAATCCTTCTTCCTAGTCTGTCTCAATTTTTAAATATATATAATACCACCTGACAGACAAGCATTCTACAGAAAAGAGTAGATGAAAGACATTTACCAGTTAGAAAAGACCAATATTCAATGTTGCTACCCACGCAGCTACATTGGGAAAGTCAGCTGTGAGAGACCTCTCAAGAGTACTGAAGAGCAACTATGTCAGGCTGGAGACTAAGGTGCTCCTGATTCAGGCTATAGTCTTTGCAATTATTTGCTATGCATCAGAGAGTTGGACAGTGAATAGGGATGACAGAAAGAGAATTGATGCTTTTGAGTTGTGGTGCTGTAGAAGAGTGTTGAATATACCATGGACTGCTAGGAGAACAAACAGGTTTGTTCTGGAGAGGGCGAAGCCAGAACGCCCCCTGGAGTCAAGGATTCTGAAGCTTCATCTGACATACTTTGGGCATGTTGCAAGGAGGGACTGGTCCTTGGAGAGTGACATCATGTTTGGGAGAGGGGAGGGACGGCACAGGAGAGGAAGACCTTTGATGACATGGATCAATTCTGTGAGTGGAGTGGTGGGAATGAATGTGTTTGAGGCAGCGAGACTGGCACAGGATATAACGGTGTTTAGGGCTCTTGTACATAGGGTTACTATGAGTTGCAAACGATTCGATGGCACATAACATCAACAACATATGTTGCCTCAAGCACTGGAATATATGAGAGGTCCATAGAATATTGAAACCCATTTCCAAATACAAGAGAACTATTAAGACCCAGAACTAGTCCCACATCATTTGCTGTGCTTTGCTCTATTATACACAGTCTCTCTGAGTCAGAAGTGACATGATAGTGCCCAATAACAACGGCCTGAATTATGCAGATGATACAAACTTGCTCAACAAAACTGAGGAGATCTTGAAGCTTTTGCTGCAGAAGGTCAAGGACTACAGCCTTCAATATGGATTGTGTCTTAACAGAAAGAAAACAGAAAAGATTCTCACCACTGGGCCATTGAAAGCAACATGATAGATGGAGAAAAGATTCATATTGTTCACAATTTCAAATTACTCAAATTTACCACCAACACTCTTGACACTAGCAGTCAGGAAATAAATGAGAAAAAAAAAAGCCCACCCCAAAACCAAACAAACAAAAACACAAGTTGCTTTAGGAAATTCTGCTATCAGGGACCTCTCCTGAGTGCTAAAAAGCACCAATGTTACTGTAGAGATTAAGCTGTGCTTTATCCAGGCCATGGTCTTCACTAGTTGCTATGCATCTGAGAGCTACACAGTGACTAAGGATACAGAATAAGAATCGATGCCTTTGAGTTGTGGTGCTAGAGGAGAGTAATGAGTATACCATGGTCTGCCAAGAGAACAAATAAGTTTGTCCTAGAGAGGGTGAAACCAAGTTGCTCCTTCAAGGCAAGGATTTTGAAATCTGTCTCACATACTTTGGACATGTTGCCAGGAGAGATTAGTCCTTGGATCATGTTGGGAAGGGTAAAGTGTCAAGTGCAGAAGAGGAAAACCTGGATGAGATGGATTGACGGTGATTGTGGCAATGGGGGTGATGGGTCAGAGGTAGTGAGGTTTTCTGAGGATAAGGCAGGGCTCAGAGCTATTGTGCATATGGTCACTATGAGTTGTAGTCTACTTGACAGCACATAACAACTACAACATTGTTAAGCTATTGTAAAGTAAAGGCCACTTTTGGTGTCATTCCATCTTGTTTTCTTCCATTTCCAAACACCTCTGTGTGTCAGGAAGTGAGAGGATGGTGCAAGATAGAACAGGGTTCAGATCTTTTGTTCATAGAGACACTATGAACTATACTCGACTTGACAGCACCTAACAACAACTTTCTTATACAGCTTTGTCGTAGCTCTATTTCTGGCTAATGTTGTTGTGTTGTTATGTGCCATCAAGTCATTTCCGACTCATAGCGATCCTATGCACAACAGTTCTAAACCCTGCTCTATCCTGCGCCAACCGGACCTCTTCTGACACACCCATCACGATTACCCCAATCACTGAATCAATCCATCTCATTGAGGGTCTTCCCTTCCTGCGCTGTCCCTCCACCCTCCCAAGCATGATGTCCCTCTCCAAGGACCTGTCCCTCCTGGCAACATGTCCAAAGTATGTCAGACGAAGCCCCAGA